TATATATATATATATATATATTAGGGCTGTCAGTTTAACACGTTAACTTAAATAATTAGTTATGAAAATATAACACGATTAAAATATTTTAACGCAGTTAACGCACTGCCCCCGCCCCCAGATGTCATCTTATATTTCATACAGCTGACTGTTATACAAATAGGCTATGATACAGGACAACAACTCCATAAATGCAGTTATGCCCTAAAATTCAAGCTATTGGGGCAAAAATGCTCCTGTATGAGTTTTTGTCTCATATTTATATACCTATGATAAGCGATAGGCCTGTCACACTAGCAGAGCATAGGCTAATATCACATGAGTGCTATTTTTGTCCTGAAAATAACGAGTGCAAATGTGATTTTATACAACAGTTCAGTAAATAAGAAGTTAATATTGTGTTATATTTTAAACACAATATTGTCTGATTTTGATTGTTTTGCCAACAAAAATATTAGGCTACCTATAAAGCCATAACAGAATTGGTGTGTGTCTCTGAGGATCACAATGGTGTTTAGTTTCTGAATGAATCCGCGTTTTGAACGAATCGAGTGAACCAATGATTCAAAGGCCCATTCATAAAGTGAACCATTTACTGAATTCCTGAATGAATCAGCCGTTTGAACGAATCGGATGAATAAAAGACTCATAAAGACATTTACCACCACCTACTGGCAGTTTTAGTTTTTATATTTAGAGTAGGCCTATTATGTAATTTCTTTAAAAAAAAAAAAAACACCAACTTTGAGGACTTTGCCTCCTCATTTCAGAACACCACTGCTGTAAAGACTTCTATTGTTACAAAATATTTACATTTTAAATAAATGTAAATTTCTTTTTAACTTTTTATTCATCAAAAAATCATGACAAACGTATCACAGGTTGCAAAAAAAAACTTATGAATCAGCATATTAGATTGATTTCTGAAGGATCATGTGACACTGAAGACTGGAGTAATGATGCTGAAAATTCAGCTTTGATCACAGCAATAAATTACATTTTAAAGTACATTCACAATTGTCTGATTTTGATTGTTTTGCCAACAAAAATATTAGGCTACCTATAAAGCCATAACAGAATTGGTGTGTGTCTCTGAGGATCACAATGGTGTTTAGTTTCTGAATGAATCCGCGTTTTGAACGAATCGAGTGAACCAATGATTCAAAGGCCCATTCATAAAGTGAACCATTTACTGAATTCCTGAATGAATCAGCCGTTTGAACGAATCGGATGAATAAAAGACTCATAAAGACATTTACCACCACCTACTGGCAGTTTTAGTTTTTATATTTAGAGTAGGCCTATTATGTAATTTCTTTAAAAAAAAAAAAAACACCAACTTTGAGGACTTTGCCTCCTCATTTCAGAACACCCCTGCTATGTGTGTGTGTGTGTGTGGGTGGGTGTGTGTAAGCCTTGATGAGCAGAAGAATCTTGAAGACTTCTTTAAAAAAATTCAAGATCTTACTGATCCCAAACTTTTGAGCGACAGTGTATGTGTGTGTGTGCATATATATATATATATACAGCTATATATTCAAAGGCCCATTCATAAAGTGAACCATTTACTGAATTCCTGAATGAATCAGCCGTTTGAACGAATCGGATGAATAAAAGACTCATAAAGACATTTACCACCACCTACTGGCAGTTTTAGTTTTTATATTTAGAGTAGGCCTATTATGTAATTTCTTTAAAAAAAAAAAAAACACCAACTTTGAGGACTTTGCCTCCTCATTTCAGAACACCACTGCTATGTGTGTGTGTGTGTGTGTGTGTGTGTGTGTAAAAAAAAAAAGGCCTTCCAGAATCAAATTTGGTGACCCCTGATATATAGTCCCCTTTTCTTTTCTTTTTTTTTTAAAGAAAAATGAAAAAAGCATTTAGGTTACTTCGTGAAAGTTCTGTCATCCTTTACTGACCCTTATATCCCAAACACATAAAACATTTGGTATTCTTTTGAAAAACACAAATGGAGATCTAATTGGATATTTAATATTCATCAAGTATGAATCAAGTGGTTTAATCTTCTTCGCCTGATGACTTTATGATGAACAGACTATAATTTAGACTGTTACTTACATATAAATATTGACCAACTGGCATATTGAGGACATCAAATATGGTAAATGAGTACATGTTTGATGTGCGATCGGGCCTCTTCAGATAATTTATTATTCCTCTGTACATTTGTATTAGGCTACTTCATTTTTGGGTGAAATATCCCTTTAATAATAGACAAATCCACAATAAATTTTTAACGATGTCAAGTTGATTTCCTTTAAACAATAGCCAAACGTTTAAATGTATTGCCAAATTTCTCTAAAATACTACTGTATATAGCCCACAATTACTTTTCCTGTTAGACGAGATATTCGGGGTGATATACATTTTAGTTACTGGTGTTGTTTTGGTCCAGTTCTGAATGCTTAAACATCCTCAGTTTTGCGGGTTTTTTAATTAATTTATTTATTTATTGTTTGTTTGTCCGTGTCAACTTAACCCCAAGTTATCCATAGCCAATCTTAAATCGTATCTTAAAACTTTTGCAAAAATAATAAAGGGTCAAATTCAAATGTATACTGTAGGCCCAAAGTAAATATAGCATGTCTAACTGAAAGACTGAACTGAGTTCCCGGACAATGGTAGACTATCGATATAGCCTATAGTCTAAAAAAAAAAAACAATGCATAAAAATACAATTTCTATTATATATTTTTTTTTTTATTATTTACAACTTGTGGTTTAAATTTTCCATAATACCTTATGTTGGTCAAAACAATGGTTTTGTAGGCAATTTTTGTTACTGTTTGAGAAATGTTTGCACCTCATATAGATATAATGTATAATGTCAGTCATTGGCAATATTTCTTCTTGTTGGATTTATCTAATTCAGATTCAATCATAAAAAGTGTGGAAGGGCATATATTACATTACACAGGAATTTATTTCACAGCAGTGGCAAAAATAGCTTGAAATGTGATGAGTTTCTCTCTTTTATTCTCCATTCGGACATCTGTGAATCCGGAGGACTGCAGTGCTTCCATGTAGACCTCAGGACGCCAGCTCTCCCCGCTAAACATGTTCTTCGAGGCTACTTTTTTAACACTATCTAGCCTGAGAGCTGTAACCATAGTTCCACCTGAGAAACAGAAAATAAATAAAACATAATTTGCACATTGTTTTGAATGTTAGGGTAGAGTGGGGGAAAACACCTCCCTACTGTTTTTCCAAAAATAAGCACAAGATAAAGTCAAATTTTTATTGTAACTATGGACAGGGCCGCGTTATCCTAATTGGCAACATGGGCTGCGGTCAGGGCCCCGAACACTAGGGACTCACCCGAGTCAATTCTCTTTTGCATTTTATATAGGGTTGCCAACCGTTCCGTATAATACGCAATCGTCCCATATTTAAGGCATCTTTTTTTTCCTGTATTTGCAGGCATACGCCGTATGACCACCTAGACCATACAAATAACACATAAATTATTATTTTTCCAAAGCATTGTTTGAATTGCGAACGTAGCCGCTCAAGGAAGGCTTTAAAGCAGCACTATGTAACTTTTGGCGCTCTAGCGGTTAATAAACAGAACTGCACACATCCCGCGGAAGAACATTTCAACCGGAGCTACTTCTCTAAGTTTATGTCTCTGGCGATTCACGCAGGTATGTGTTACTCCGCAGCGGTGAGGACCCGACCAGGCTACAATAGTCCAAATATAAGTACTTATTATAAGTGTACCGTAGTGATTCGGTTCGGAATAAGACAAAAACGCGGTTTGGAAGATGAATTCATGATGTACAGGTGCATCTCAATAAATTAGAATGTCGTGGAAAAGTTCATTTCTTTCAGTAATTCAACTCAAATTGTGAAACTCGTGTATTAAATAAATTCAATGCACACAGACTGAAGTAGTTTAAGTCTTTGGTTCTTTTAATTGTGATGATTTTGGCTCACATTTAACAAAAACCCACCAATTCACTATCTCAACAAATTAGAATACTTCATAAGACCAATAAAAAAAACATTTTTAGTGAATTGTTGGCCTTCTGGAAAGTATGTTCATTTACTGTACATGTACTCAATACTTGGTAGGGGCTCCTTTTGCATGAATTACTGCATCAGTGCGGCGTGGCATGGAGGCGATCAGCCTGTGGTACTGCTCAGGTGTAATGGAAGCCCAGGTTGCTTTGATAGCGGCCTTCAGCTCATCTGCATTGTTGGGTCTGGTGTCTCTCATCTTCCTCTTGACAATACCCCATAGATTCTCTATGGGGTTCAGGTCAGGCCAGTTTGCTGGCCAATCAAGCACACCAACACCATGGTCATTTAACCAGCTTTTGGTACATTTAGCAGTGTGGGTAGGTGCCAAGTCCTGCTGGAAAATGAAATCAGCATCTCCATAAAGCTTGTCAGCAGAAGGAAGCATGAAGTGCTCTAAAATGTCCTGGTAGATGGCTGCATTGACTGTAGACTTCAGAAAACACCAATACATAGTGCTGCTTTAAGACCAAGCGAAATCCTCCAAGTAGATATAACTGCAGACCGGAGATCTCCAAAATGGGGCGTGAACTCCAAAAGCGGGCAGAACCTCCTAAATGGGGCGGGGTCTCCTCGCGCAAATACTTTCACCATTGGCTTTGGCTCCAGCCAATTGTTATTGACTTGCATTTCAAAATAAAACTTTATAAATGTAACATTGTTTCTAGTTCATCTAAAATAAAATATGCTACATAAATATTCTCCGTGAGAGCAGAGCCCAAAGCTCGTGGCCGGTGGTGTTTGGACTGGAGTTTGAACCTCTGCTTAATGATATAAATGGGAATCACCCACGAGCTCTCCTGCGAGCCGTCCCAGCTCAGCGCAGGGGAAAGATTTCACTCTACCGCTTTTTTCTAAGCAACTGGGGCGTCTCGGGGCTCGAAATTCGCAGGGTAGGACGGGGTAGTGATGCTGGGTGTAACTAAAAAGGTGCCATTGTCTGAATCCTCTGCCTAGTCGAGAAGGGTATAACTGCAGCCCGGAGATTTCCAAATGGGGACAGGAACTCCAAAACGGGGTGGGAGGCTCCAAAATAGGGCATGGCTTCCTCCCATTGACAGACAGGCACATAACACACATGCACAATTTCTTCCCCCAATCCACTTCAGTGCAAACTCCGCCCCAAAGCTGATTCTAAAGTTTTTATTGGTTGTGTCAATTAAAGTGTTGATTTCCTACATTATGCTACAAAAAATGCTAACCCCTACACCTATCCCACACCTGACCCTAACCTTAACCAGTGAAATTGACTGCATGTCGGGATTGGCGCTGAATAGCGTGGTAAAGAAAGATGCAGTTCAGGAGATAAACAACTCCCCAACCGGACCTCACCGGACAATGGCACCTTTTTAGTTACACCCAGCATCACTGCCCCCTTCCTACCCTACAAATTTCGAGCCCTGGGATGCCCCAGTTGCTTAGACAAAAGCGGTAGAGTGAAATCTTTCCCCGCTGGGACGGCTCGTGGGAGCGCTCGTGGGTGATTCCCGTTTATATCATTAACCAGAGGTTCAAACTCCAGTCTGAACACAACTGGCCACGAGCTCTGCTCTCACGGAGAATATTTATTTATACAGCATATTTTATTTTAGATGAACTAGAAACAATGTTACATTTATAAAGTTTTATTTTAAAATGTAAATCAATAACAATTGGCTGGAGCCAGAACCAATGGTGAAAGTCTTTGCGCGAAGAGACCCTGCCCCATTTTGGAGGTTCTGCCCCATTTTGGAGATCTCCGGTCTGCAGTTATACCTACTTGGAGAGGAGGGGGAAGAGGGGAGACAGGCTTTGTCCAAATACCCACACTTGCAGTCTTTGCACTTGACCACTTGATTACTTAAAAATCCTGAATTTGGCCGAATTCTTCACCCTTCCTACCCTACAAATTTCGAGCCCTGGGATGCCCCAGTTGCTTAGACAAAAGCGGTAGAGTGAAATCTTTCCCCGCTGGGACGGCTCGTGGGAGCGCTCGTGGGTGATTCCCGTTTATATCATTAACCAGAGGTTCAAACTCCAGTCTGAACACAACTGGCCACGAGCTCTGCTCTCACGGAGAATATTTATTTATACAGCATATTTTATTTTAGATGAACTAGAAACAATGTTACATTTATAAAGTTTTATTTTAAAATGTAAATCAATAACAATTGGCTGGAGCCAGAACCAATGGTGAAAGTCTTTGCGCGAAGAGACCCTGCCCCATTTTGGAGGTTCTGCCCCATTTTGGAGATCTCCGGTCTGCAGTTATATCTACTTGGACTAGTCGCTCCCGCTTCACACCGAGCGGGACTCGTGTTTTGATTTCTGCAAATCAGTTTGGTTGAATGCAAAGATGTGATTATTGATCGTAAGCACAACATCCAGCTAGAAAACATACTATCTACCTTTTACTATTTGCAATAGTTGGACCGACACTATGGAATAACCTTCCTTTATCTGTGAAAGCTTCAAATTCTGTCTAGGAGTTTAAAACTAAATTTAAATCTTATTTTCTTATTAGCTTTTTAAACTTTGTATGTTAAATTATCTTTTGAGTTTACTGATATTATTCTTTTTACTGGTTTTTATTTGTACAGCACTATGGTCAACTGCTGTTGTGTTTATCGGTGCTTAATAAATACAAATACCTGACGGAAGATGTCTTTCACTATTGTAAGTTAATGTTGTTAAATAGAGAAACAAAATTATACATTTTTTAAAAATTTCTATAACTTCTAGCGCATTATAAGAAGAGCAGGAAGAAGCCCTTTCAGTTGTGAGTGATTTTTAATTTTATTTGCTGGGCTGTTGCTGATTTGAAAGATTACTCGATAATAAATGTTTAACTTATATACATAATTGTTTGCCTCCTATGGGATTATGACGTGCATCATGATTCTTGGATTTTCATTTTAGGCGGGCTCAGCCCTCGATGAGAGTATAATAATAAATAAATGAATAAATACAATTTTAAAAAATGTTTGACGAATTGGGTAGGGTGGGTATACTAAACTTATTGCAGTATTCCACTGTATTGCATAGATGGGTATAGCATTTGAGTAATGAATAAGCCAAATACAAGTCTTCCTAATCCCTCTCTCTCACACAGTTTGCATTTCTATAAAGAGTAGGCTATACAAACCTCTTAATATGCTCAAGTACTGTCTGTCACTGTCTTTAATCAGTTCTGTGCATTACTGTATGGTTAATGCCACATGCACTGTAATATGTTTAATACTGAAAGTTAAATTTTCAAATTAAAATAGCAATATGATCGTTTTATAAAGTAGGCTATGCGTTCTTATAAGGGCTACATTTTTGCTGGAGCAAACAGCTGTGTGATGAGGGGTGAACGGAGCGTAAAGCTGCATTAGCCCATGGGCCCCGCAAAGGCTTAATGAACAGTAGGCATAGGGAGTATGTGTTAAGAAAAATATAATTATATTTTCAGAATTACATTTTTCTCTCAAACATGTGGGTACCGTAAAACGCCCCCTGGGTACAAATTAAATTTTTGTTAAAAATGTAATAATATGAAAAAGACGCTGGCGGAGTGAACCAGGCTTGAAAAAGTTGTTAGTGAAGGCGTGGGCGCAGCCACCGTGTTGCCAGATCCAGCTGCTATAAGCGTTTTTGGACTTGTCTTTTCCACTTTTTTTTGACACTTTAGAAAGTTAATAAAGTAGGACGTTGCAGTTTAGGGTCAGCGATATCTTTATCTTATCTTAATTGCAAAAGATTTGAAATAATTTCGGTTTATTTTTATTTATTTATCGTTTTTTGGTTTGTTTTAATAGCAGTATCTGGCAACAATGCATCGATGATTCGGCTGTGCAGGTCCGGCTGGCCTTGGTATTATGTAAAAATATAATCAGAATATCAACTTGCATAATTATGCATGCACTGTATTTGTCCCCTTCTGCTGTCGAGGTAATGCAAGAAATGTTGTGACTGGTTGTCAAGGCAGCCAATCAGAATTTAGCAGCCTCGGTCTCTGATTGGCTGGAATTATGGCACATTGTAACGCTGGGTTGAGCATGCGAAATGTTGGCATTTAGCGAGCACTGAGGGGGGCATCAGGTGAGCAAGCTAGTGAAACCTTGCACGCGCAAAAGAGAAGGTCTGCACACATCCCAAAACATATTTTAAATGCAAAATTTCCGTGCGCTCGAAATACTTTTTTCTTTGCGAAACGAACATTTTCTCCACAAACTCAGATCGCGCGTGTGCAAAAAGCACTTTTGTGTGCTCAAAATATGATATTTCGCGCGCAGAATTGTGGCAGAAATGTAAGCCCATACGGTATAGGCTACATTATGTAAATGTTGGGGGCGTAATCATTAACGATCCCGACTGTAACGTCACAGTTTTATTGCTACACTCTTAAAAATAAAGATGCTTCAAAAGGTTCTTCAAGCGATGCCATAGAAGAACCATTTTTGGTTCCACAAAGAACCATTCAGTCAAAGGTTCTTTAAAGAACCATCTCTTTCTTACCTTTTTATAATCTGAAGAACCTTCTTTCACCACAAGGAACCTTTTGTGAAACAGAAAGGTTCTTCAGATGTTAAAGGTTCTTTATGGAACCATTTTTAGACAAAAGGTTCTTCTATGGCATCGTGAAGCGCCTTCATTTTTAAGAGTGTAAATGTGAACATATTTAGAGGAGTTATGAGCGTGTACAGGATGGTAATACATCCTCCATTATTATCAAGAGAAATAAACAGAAACATCTGCTTATTTAGTTGTTATCGCACTATATATATATATATACACTGTATATATAACTATTTAGATTGAATAATCTCCCAAATGTCTGTTCAGATGAAAAATTAAGATAAATGAGAGCACAAACTTAATTTTGTGAGAGATTTAGTGACGTGTACAAAAAGTAAATGAGGCACCTTATTCTTTTAGACTCATTTACTTATTTATGCCTTTTAAATATTTCTTTATATTGGTTAGAGACATTATTGAATGAGTCAAGTTCTCGAGATCTCACCTGGTTTCATCACTCTGTGAATGGCTCTCGCGCCTGCTTTCAGATCCGGCCAGAAGTAATAGCAGTTGCAGTGAAACACCTTGTCAACCGTGTTTTCCTCTATCGGCATGGCCACCAAATCACTGTAATACAACACAGCCTTTCCTCTGGAGATCTGCTCCTTCATGCGCTTACTGGCCATCTCATGCATGTATTGAGAGTAATCCACACCGAGCAGTTTCCCCTCCGGAGCCGTGAGGAGCTGCGCCGCCGCCTGCAGACCGAAGCCCGGCCCGTGGCCGAGCTCCAGCACCGTGTCTTTGGGTTGAATGTTGCTCAGTTTCACCGCATTCTCCTCCAAAATCTGATTGTGCCATTTAAAGAACTTGGTCACCAACCATCCAGTTAAAGAATACGTGGGGTGACCCAGCTGTTTGCCCACTTTGTTCGGCAGCATTTCTATGCACACAACAAAACACAGGTTATTTAAGAACATTCCAAAGTAGAGAATTGCATTAAGAATCAAACTATTAATTGACCTAAGCCAAAAAGGGAACTATTATAAACAAAACTACAGACGAAATTAAAGTTAGCTCAATTCACAGAAGACTTAAAAGTTTAGCCTCAGAAGAACTGACAGAAGTGTGCTTAAAATTTCTATTTAATATGAACATTTCTATTCAATACAGAAACATAGGCGCTACATTCATAACTGCGTACCTAGCAGTGGCAGATGTTGGACTATGAAACAAGGCAAGGTCCAGATACTATGTTTTAATTCAGTGTGAAGTCATATGGTGCAGGTACATTTTAATTTAAGTGGGTTAAAGGCTTTAGCATGATTTAGTTTCGATATACACTTCCTTCTGGTCGTGCTAACTGGGAGAGACAGTCTTACAGCAGACAGCAATAGCACACTTACGTTTATGATTATATAACTATAATACAAGTATATTCAACATAAACATCTAGTCAAAAACATGCAACGCTTATTGAAGCAGCAGTATAATGTCTGCTCCGACAGCTAATACTTGCCTTTGCCACAATAAGGGACCGTGTAAAAATTCTACACACTGTAAAAACGTAGGAGGAGTCAACCCATTGATTTACAGTTAGGCTATAATATAATAACAAATACAGTAATATATTCTAAAGGCCCCCACTGAGGTGTTGTACCTACCTCAAATACCTGGAACATCTTTGACTATTTATTTAAAATCTACCATAATTTTACATTCTGCCAGTTGTATCAGGCTCCCAAATGGTCCCTTAAATAAGTATTAAAGCAAATGTTTTTTTTTTTTTTTTTTTTTTTAATATTAGTTTCAAAATCATTCTGATCGCACACTGACTTCTAATAATTTGAATGTCTTATGTTTCTTTCCCACGCTCTGCCATTGCTTTACGGCAGCAACAAATCCACAGCTATCCACTGTCATTACAACGGTGATATAAGACAGTCAAGTCCACTCACTTAAAGGAATAATTCACCAAAAAAATGTCACCCTCTTGTCATTCCAAACCCGTAAGACCTTCGTTCATCTTCGGAACACAAATTAAGATTTCTGATGGAATCTGAGAGCTGTCTGACCCTCCATAGACAGCAAGGATAATACCAAGGCACAGAAATATAGCAAGGACATCGGTAAAGTATGACATCAGGGGTTCAACCATAATTTTACAAAGCTACAAGAATACTTTTTGTGTGCAAAGAAAACAATAATAACAATTTATTCAGCAATTCTTCTCCCCGAGTTACCGTCTTCCACCATTTTGGAGAGTACCCCAGAACGTAATCACCGTTGTGGCAACTGACCAATCAGGATTGAGTATTCCACAGAGCTGTGTAATAGTTACATAAAGTAATTTCTTCTAGTTTTATCTTTGTACAGCTGACGCTTCACGAGTGAGCAGGCAGGAGAAAATAACAAATAATTGATCCTACAACCAAACGTTACCACAATAAAAATCAACACTCTTACACTATAAAAAATTAATAAATAAAAATCCCCAACCAACGTAATATTCTGATGTTGTTTTTTTAAACCGGTCACAATAAAAGCTCATAAAGTTTTACATGTTTACACTGTGTCAAAAATAAGACCACAAGTCAACAAATCATGAATATGAGTGATTTGATTAGTTTGTAGTAAAGCTTGGTTGAGATCATTCACAGATTGTAAAGTAAGCTACCTATTATATTATACAATATAACTACCTCTGATCTAGTATGGAATACCTTTTAATAGACTTTTAAACATTAAATATTAAATGTGTATTATGAAATTGAAAGGCACTATTAAATGTATGTCTTGAAGACTAATGAACAACTCAGGGAGATGCAAATGTAGGGTAATTTAAAATATTTTATTACATTCATATAACCAACTGTAAACAATAAACTAACAGAACAAAAAAACAACAACAAAAAACAGAAATGATTTGTATAATAAACTTAAAATCAGTCATTTGTAAAATATAAGCCTACTGCATGCATACTTTCTTAGTGTGCTCTAAATTCTCCTGTGCAGTAAGAGCCTCTCTCTTGTGTGCAGTTTTCTTATTTTTAATCTCAGGAGTCTTTTCTTCTGTCTCAACACAACCCTTCAAACTAAAGAGAGAAGAGAAACAGTGCCATCAGACTGAAGGAATGAAAGAGCACTGGCTCCCCCCAGTGTCTGATGTGTGTAATGTCAGTGTATGAACTGTTGGACTTAGCCTTTGCTACAGTTTAAAGGGGTCATATGATGCAAATTCTAGGTTTCCTTTCTCTTTGGAGTGTTACAAGCTGTTCATGAATAGATAAGATCTCTAAAGTTGCAAAGACTAAAGTCTCAAATCCAAAGAGATATTCTTTATAAAAGTTAAGAGTCAACCACGCCTACCTAAAATGCCTCATTTAAACACGCCCCCACATGTCTATGTCACGATGTGGGAAGATTTGCATAACGCCACCCAAATGTTCACGCAAAGAAAGAAGGTGTAACTTTTATTCTCGCTGTAGTATTGTTGTTGCCGCCGCCGTCATGTCGTGAAGGCGTTGTGTGTTTCGTTGTGAAAGCGAAACTACTTTGTTTGGTCTTCCAAAAGAGGACATGACTAGAAATCAGTGGTTAAGTTGTATTTACAACACTGTTCCAGAACAGTTCAACCCAAATATTCAGATGTGTGCAGTGCATTTTACAGAGGACTGTTTCCTGAACCAGTAGCCTACAATGCATCTGTGGCACAAAGGCTGTTTCTATAAAGTGGGGCAGTTTCAACTTTGCAAGGACAGTCTGGCGCTTCTGACTCACAGCCTGTAAGTACGTTTTCATATTTAAAGAATTTGCCACTGATGATTCAAACGCGAGTTTTAAGCAGTGTAGAGTAGCACTTGTTGTTTGTCAGTTCTCCGATCACAAATGCAGACAAGGTTTTATGCTTATGCGGCGCGATGCAACGCAACGCGTAGAAAGACAGTATACTGTAAGTCATTATAATCCATAATTATGTCCCCACTGGATGCAACAAATGCCTCGTTTATAATGGGTTTTGCCGGACAGGGCATCACAATATAGTAAGGGGCATAACATTTCCGTCACACGCTTGAGGCATTCGGCCAATCACAACGCACCGAATAGCTGGCCAATCAGAGCACACCTCGCTTTTCAGACCGATGAGCTTTGTAAAAATCAACGCGTTTCAGAAAGGCTGGGCATAGAGGAGAAACAATAATGTACAGTATGTGGAAAATAATGTGTTTTTTTAACCTTAAACCGCATAAACACATTGCATTACACCAAATAATGTTATTTTTAGCAGCATCATATGACTCCTTTAAATACATGACAGTCCTGAAAAGCATGAATCTTACCTTGTTCTTCTGGATTGCATGTTCAGCCGTCAATTCCTTTGCCTTCTCTAGATATAGTGGTTTGTTGTATTTAAATTCCGAGGACTGGAAAGTATGTCAGCATATTAATTTTCAAGAGTAATGTGAGAGCAATAATTATGAAAACTTATTTCTGCCACTGAATAAACATTTTAAAAGGTAACAGCGACTTTTTATCTTGCAATTGTGACTTTATTTCTCACAATTGCAAGTTTATTTCATGAAATTCTGAGAAAAAAGTCAGAATTAAGATGTTAACTTGCAACAGAATTGTCAGACAATTACAACTGTCAGAATTGTGAGATAAGTTGCAATTACCTTTTTTATTTTTTATTCAGTGGCAGAAACAGGCTTCCAAAATAAACAATCAGAAGTGTGAAAGTGGCACAAAATGAAAAAACAACTAATCCCAAACTCAATTTAAGCCACTGGTTCAGCCAATGTAATGACGGGCTGTTCAAATAAACAGATTTAAGGTAAAATAATGATCACAACTATTCCATTATTTTAATTAAGCATCCCAAGCCCATGCCAGTAAAAAAAAAACAGCCCAAAGTAGCCCAATTACCATGTCCCAAATATAAAAACGTAATTTCCATCCCTAAAATACATATTTTACAGTCACTGTTATGCACATTTATCGTAAACACAGCTCAAATGCTTCCTACTAGTGTGGCCCAAAACATTTAGCACCGTTTTATTACAGGTAGAACGCAAACTGTTTCAGTACAAGCATTTCAACCAAATGTAATTTATGCAATATTTCAAACCTTTAACCCACTGGGGAAAATCAGGCCACGGCAACAGTTTAAAAGCAGCCCAATTTCGTGGAAGACAACAACAACCCTGCATCCAACACGAGCTGCAGAAGTCAGATTTGACTGATCACGGGTCAAAAGTAAGGAGAGATAACTGACAAAGATGTTGGAGGATTTGCTGCTCAACAGATCCCGAGCTCATTGGCAAATATATTTTATTGTAAGATGAGCTCTCCTCCCATTCAAAAGGTATTTAAATACCCCACATATTGATAGCGGCGCCCTGGTGCGGCGCGAAAATTATATACAATATTAGAACGTTTGCGGGAGCGGACACAAAAATCGTGGGAGCGGATGGGAGTGTGGTCAGAAATTCAGCGAGAGCGGGATCAACAAGCCCCGCGCCGTAACAGATGACGTCAAATCTTGCCATAAATAAACTACACAGAACCCCACTATTCGGACAAATATACATAACGAAAAGAATAAAGATGATACAAAATGTAATACCTTGGAAAATGGCATTTAAGACTTTTTAATACTTTTTTACGGGTCTTAATTTTCTCTAAATTGATTTATCAACTTTTAATACTTTTTTAAGACCGGATCACGGGAGCGGCTTTACTGACCAGATGCATGAAAATCGCATTTGCACAGCCCTAACGTTACCTGAGGGTAACTACATTTTTAGAAAATTTATTTTTGAGTGAACTAGTCCTTTAAGAGTATGAAAAATCACTCACTTGTTGAGATCATGTAATAGTCTCACCTCTCAGGTATGTTGATGTCCAGTGTGAACACACCTCCTTCATGTGGAGTGTCTGCGCCTCCAACAATCTCTATCTCAAACACAAGAGCAATGCAGAAGAGGCGTTCTGTAAGAATTAAATGTTTGACTTTGACACTGTGTGAGTATTAAATCTCAGACTGACGGGCTTGTAGTTCATCCAGCCGTGCCTCAGTCTGCCAGCAGGAGGCTCCTGGAGGAGGCTCGGCGCTGAGAAGCTGCAGCTCCCGCTTCAGGCGACTCGTTCTCTGCATAACCACCGGCTAAACGAACACGACACAGTTATTAAGCGAACAAGATGTGTAACACTTGTCATTTGCCACATTCACAACACACATAACATAATAACGACGCATTTCCCTTCACAACAGAACGTTAATCTATGGAGACTGCAAACTCCGTTTGGTCAAGATGTTTTCAACTAAAACGTCGTTACAACACTTTTTTTCATCGACCATTATATGACGTAACTTACTAAGCTTATTATCAGCATCACTTACTGGTGTTGTTATTGCCGAGTTTTGCTTGTATTAAACAGCTTCTGACTTGCGTGGTTTTGATTCTGCCCGCTAAATGTTCATATTATTATTGTGCGACCGACGCGTGGTTCCCTTTCATGGGAACTTCGAACTGCGTCCTCTAGGGTCGCTATGGGGGAACGCCTCGTCGTGACCCGTGTCTGAAGCATACATTGAAAAAACACCAACTCGTTGGCCGGCGACAGCCATGACGTCACTACCGGTGCGACTATAGTATAAATCGGCGCCGGGAGCTACACATCATTCACTTCTTCGTCTTCATTGACTGTTTTGTTTGAAGCGTGCATTTCTGTGGTAAGAGCGATCTCTATTTATATCATTATGGCGAGCACTAGCAAAGCGTTTAAGGATGTGTTTAACATCTGATGACACACACAATCTATGCGTTGTTTTGTTTGGGCAAAGAGCACGCACGCGATGTCTCCGAGGGGGCAATCGGCGTGCACTGCCAGCATTTTTTCAAAAAAAAAAAATTTAAAAAAAAAGCTCCGCTCTTGTTTGTCTCTCTTTTCGAGGAAAGAGGGGCAGCCATCTGCTTCC